CAGCTGCAGCCCATCAGCCCCATGGATTTCTCCGAGCCTGGCTTACAGGAGTCCCCTACTCTGCAGTCCCACTACACCCATGCAGAAATCAAGACCCTGAGCCTCGTTTTTTAGGAGAGACACAGTCACAGTGCTTGCTGCATCATTAAGCAGAACTGCTTGAGCTTGAAACACCTGCCCAGACTAACACTGGCCTTTTTTCTTTCCTGCATAACTATATAAAACTCCATCCCCCACCCCGGAAATAAATCTGTCCAGAAGGCAAAGGAGTCCAGCTTCTCTTAACCAGACTCTTGGAGACAGCTCCTCCCCATTTCAGTGCACAAGAGCCAACGTAACCTTTTGCAATCACTGCCATAAGAATTTGCTGTTATTTCAAATTCCAAATGCAACAATTTATTTCCCCCTTTTTTTCTTTTACCATCACACCCTGCATTGACCTTTTAAAACTCACTTCATGCGTCTGCAGCCCTATGTGGGCAGCCTCACTAATACCTATTGCAAAAGCAGGCAACGTGGCAAAATTCGTGCTTCCATGTAGATGGAGTTTTTATCTGCTGCATGTGTTAGCAGACCAGTGCTTAACACAACCAGAACCTAGAATCACAGTTTATAAACATAGTGTTGGCCATTTTATTAGCAACAACACAGTTTTAAGCACTCCCACCAAAACACAAATAGGATTACAAACTTCCACCTGCTTTACATCTGCAGCACATGTAACTCTTCACATTCTTCAGATGACCACCACAAGCTCTCAGTGCCAAATTTTGTTTACTGTTTGTCAGCAAGAGCAGCAGCACTGGCTCTTTGGTAGGTTCCCTTGGGAGCAAAACAGCTGGGAGCAACACAGCTCCCAAAAGCATCAAAAAAGGCATCTCCAGCAGCTCCCAGAGCTGTCACATTGCTAAATTACTTTATTCCCTGCTGCTTTCAGTTCACATTTTTATGTGTGCCTCTTAAGGCACAAGCAGACACTTGTAACCTCAGTGATCAAACCCTCCCATCTGCTTGCACAGCCACTCGCTTGGCTGATGGAGATTTACCAGTAGTCAGGAGCAACGAACACCTCCACAGGCAGCTCCCTGCAGATGCAGGGGCCATTTGTGGACCAGTCTCCATCTTTTCCATCCTGTCTGGGCCTCCCTCCCACACCCCTCGGTGCTGATGGCTGTTGTTTGGCCAAGCTGCTTTTCCATTACTGCTGTCCTGCTGGCTCACATACCACACCACACTCCAAAATCACCACCATAAAGCCTCTGCACACTTCAGAAAAGGACTGACAATGCTTTATAGACAGAAGACTCTAAAAACATATAAAACCCACAGCAAAAAGCAATCCCAACCTGGTACAGCACATACGATCTGAGTAAGGAGCTAGTCTCTCTTCCCAAGGGAGCATTTACACACACCAGCACTATTTTTATATTTATAAATGAATCACTCATCACTTTAAGCTATCATGCATGATCACCACTTCCACAAGAAAAGAATGGCAGTATTTAAACCACTTCTACTTTATTTTCCCATTACTTTTCCCCCCTTACATTTTTAACAACTCTATTTAAAAAACAGGAACTCCATGAACACCACTCCCATTATCCCCAAAGCCTTATCTTCACTTTAAATAGGTTTTTTCTCAGCCTTAAGCAGCATGTTCAAGTCAAATAGCTAAATGTGGGAGACACCTGATGATCTCAAGCTTAACCTAGCAACCCCACCCTGTGCTATATGTACTAATATTTTTCACTTGACTTAATTAGTGGGATTCAAATGAGACCTCAGCAACAACATGCCCAACACCACAAACCACAGCAGTGATGGTTCACATGCTTCACCTCAAGATGATCTCTTGAGGTCCCTTCCAACCCTTGGGATTCTGTGTGGGATTCTGTGATTCACCTGGCAATGCACCAATGCACTGTGGGCTTTCCAGAGCCTTGAACTCCAACACCACAAGGTGCTCCCAGTTCTCCAGTATGATGAGCAGCATCTCCTGAAGCTAATTCTCCACTAGGATTTCCTCAAAGATAATGAAATAAATTAGGATATGCTTTACTTCCTGTTTGTTGAAGCCATACTTAGCATGTGTTTTCAAGAAACTGTCTGAATCCACATGATCACAGTCTTTTTCCCCCATTAACGCTGAAATCCTTCAATAATCACTAACACTTAGAAGTTGGGCTTTAGGAAAATACCAGCTAACATGACATTGGCAACAAAAAACAACCCTGCAAGATCTAGATGCCTCAAGATGGTATCAACACCACAGCACACTGGGATGCCACAAAGTCATTATGCTAAAGAAATATGGGAGGATGCTGTCCTCATTGCTGCAGTGGTGCAGGAAGTGAGGGAAGTAAGGTCATGTTGGATAGTGTTTGAGGAACCTGGTCTAGCAGAAGGTGTTCCTGCACCTTGTGGGGGGTTGGAGCTGGATGAGACTTAAGGTCCCTTCCTTAAACCCAAATCTTTCTGCAAGTCTATGATTATTTAATTTCTCCTTGTAAAACTTTCAGGAAACCAGGGACAGAAAACAGCACCTTCATTTTTCCATCACAGCTCCCCACAGAAGATCAGGTAAATGTACAACTCAAACTATTCACAATTTCGTTGTTCATCTCCTCTTTACAGAGAAACACTAAACTGCTGGGGGCACACAGGCAGGAAAAAAAACACCACAAGACTGGCAAACCCAGATTAAGCTTCAGTTTAAGGACAGGAGAAGGTTTAGCCATTGCACAGAAAACTGGGTTTATTCTTGTCAAGGCAAACACCAGAAATTGTTACTGACTTTGACCAGGAATGTGGTCCTATCTCTAGAAAATCCCGTTTGTTTCTCTTCACTGTCATTGGAGCTTCCTTAAATATCTGCACATCTCCACACAGACATTAACTACTGCAACCTGACAGTGGGAACTCAAAATAGGTGACAAGTTACTCTTTCTTTCCTGGCCTTTGGAAGCTGGCTTTTCTCCCCCTGAAAGACTGCAAAGAAACCTCCGCAAAATAACTCTTGCTGAACTCTAAATGTCAGTGATGGTCCTCATATCTCCAAAAAGCTTTACAGTCATTACCATGTCTGAACCTAGTCACAGGTCCATCTACCAACGCATTAATTCTCATGCAGAGCATGCCTTAGAAACTTTTCTTGATAGCTTTCAGTGAATGAAATGAAATCTGGATCCAGGAATGCCAGGGGCTCATTCCAAGCTTGCTCATGTTGGGGTGCCCCACCTGCTGACCTACTTTGGTGACTTCAGGTCTAAGTTGCCTTTCCAGACCGAGGTCTGACCTTGTTCAGCCCCCAGTGCACACCACACTCCACCTTTCCTGCAGCTGAGCAGTACAGCTCAAAACAGATCTCCTTACCACCCACAAGATGCCTTCCTAAGGAGCAACTATCACACTGCCTCATCATAACCAACGCGCCCCAACCCCCTCTTCTCGGGTACCAGCGACACCTCAAGAGACCATATCTGCGAAGCCGAGCTCCTACACTCGGGCTCCTACACTCCTGCGGCCACCAGCGCAGCCGCGGTCACTCTCAGCACCTGGCGTCACACTGCGGGTGCTTCCCCGTGCCCCCCACTCCCTCCCGTCCCGCCCTACCTTCCTGCGGCGGCCACCCGGGGGCTGCAGCGGGCAGCAGCCGGGCCCGGCGCTCCCCCGCCGCCCGCTCCGCACATAGGTGACCCGTCGCCTGCCCGCCGCCGCCGGGTACTTCTCCGTGCCGCGGGCCGGCGGAGGCGCCCGCCCCGCTGCTGCTGCCGGCCGGGGCTTCTCCTCCGTGCACCAGGATCGCCTCATGCCCAGCTGGAGGCAGAGGAACAGCGCGGCAGAGAGCAGGCAGACGCGAAAGGCCGAGCCTCGCCACAGCGGCCGTTCCTTGGGCATGGCGATGGGGGCTCGCCCTGCCCAGGCCCCGCCGCAGGGCTCATGCCGCCGGCGGGCCGGACCCCGCGGCCGCAGCCGAAAGTTGGGAGACCCCGCCCCGAGTGGGGCCGGCCGGGGAGGGGCCGCGATGCCCCTGCTCCGGTGGCTGCCATGGTCCCGGCGCCGGTCCCTGTTGCGATGGGGTGTGGGTCGGTGCCCGGTCCCTGCCGTGTAGCGTGTCACACCTCCGTATCAGTAGTGCACGCACCCCGAGCCATGCTGCCTTCAAAGGCCCGGCTTGACAGACGACATCTCTTACGAAAAGTTTTCTCTCTGTTGTATCGACCCACCTTTGTAGTATGGAAGTGTATTAACTTGTTAGTATGTGTTCCCATTGTAGATCGCAGTGCCATGAAGTAGTGGAATTTTACTGGAGATTTGTGTATTGTCCATGCTCAAGTAAAGCAAACGAAAGGGCAGCCTGGCCCTGGAAGTAAGGACTTTGTTTCTCGGGAGATTAGAGATGTCCATGCATGCTAATGGATAAGCCTGGACAGACAAGATAACACCAACATCCTAACCCCTCTGTCATGTCTTTAAAGGCCTCGCAGCATTGCCAGACATTGCAGATAAGTAAAGCTAGCAAAGCTGACTCCAGGGAGGTCTGGATCAATAGACAAACAGCAAGAATACCACAAAAATAGAAGTTGCTTTGGAAAGTTTTATTACCCTTAGTAATCAGTGCTGCAGCTGCTAGTGATTAGTTAAATCATGTTGGGCTTGATTGTTTGAAGGGTGTGAGACCCTGTGTGAAACCACAGCTGGGGAGGAACACCTCATGTGCATGAATGATTTCTAGGTCTGTACTTTGCATCCGAACCTTTCTCCTGGGTCAGCTCAGGCCAGGTGGAAATGTTCATGGTATGTCCTTGGTTTCAACTGTGAAGGAAAGGCTGGAGGTGAGCTGAGCAGGGTTGAGGGGCAGTGCAGTGGGTGGGTGTCCAGCTTTACCTCTGCAGGAACACATGCAGCCCTCAAAATGGGGACATGCTGCACAGGCTGGCTTTGGTCTGAAGCCACAACGCTAAAGCATTGCTGAGCAATGAGCAGGTGGTGGTTGGTGAGATTTTCTGGAGCAGGAACTGCGGGTGGGGAAGTGTGTCAGGGGCAGGAGGCAAGCTCTGTGCACAAGGAGAAGGGCAATGGCTGGCAGTTTGCAGCACATGCCGCTCAGTGAGTAACAAATACGTTCTCAGGTGGGACGTGCAGGACATCGCCGTGCAATTACTTCCCGTTTCTTTGCAAGTCGGGGATAAAGGTTGCGACTCTTGCCTTCGGCATGCAGTAACGTGCTTCCAGTGCCCCTGCCTTCTCTCCTGGCAAGGGAGGCGCTTTCTGCGTTGAGCTCCTCCTTCCCTTCTGCAGCCTTGTCCCCAGCAGCTGCCCTCTGCTCCGCTCTGACCTCTCCTGCCTGCTCACAGCCTCAGCCAGAGCCGGAGCTGGCTGCTGCTAGGGCAGCAGGTCAGAGAGGAGCACGGGGAAAAAGGGAGCCCACCAGCAGGTAGCAAACAGACCTGCTGGCAGCAGGACAGAGGATTAGCATGCGGGAAGATAGGAAAGGGAGCAAGCAGCCTCTCTGCAGACGTGGGATTTCAAACGTGGCTCCAAGCACAGATGTACTGGCAGGGCACGTGTTTGCTCCCTGCCATTTAGACACTGATGACCTTTGGGGTTTTTTTTAGGTGTTCTTCTAAGTTAGGTTAAAGCGATTCCATGGTTGTTTTAAATCGCCCTAAATGCAGCAGGCTCCTCTTGGAAGGGGGTAGGTGGCAGTGCTGGCTGCCATTCCTGTAGCAGGAGGGCCCCTTTGTTGTAAGCTAAGCCAAACTAGGGCAGTGACCTACATGAAAACTATCTCAAGAACTCTGGAGCAGTTTCCTAATAGACTTGGACACCTTTATCAGACACCTTCCTGTCTGTTGGTCAGCCTACAGCCAACATGGAACAGCCTCTGGGTGGTTTATGCCTTTAGGGAAATGCAGTGCAGATCAGACCACTTCTCCCCCTGTCCCTGCTCAGAGGTCCCCATCCCTGGTCAGGCTCAGTTGTTTGCCACAGGGAACCAGGTTGGCTCTGGTGCTGACCTGTCTGACAACCACATGCTTTTTTCCTGTTTCCACCCCCCCTTAGGTGGCTCACAAGCAGACCAGACAAGCCCTGGTGCTAGTGTAAGGGAAGGACACATTTATGAGGACAGAGGGAGAGCGTGACTGCAACAGCTACACCTGACATCAGCTTAAGAGATGGGCACCCAGCTCCATCCGTGAGCATCACCTGGAGTTCATCAGCAGAACGTCACTCAGGCTGGCACAGGGAGGGCTGCCTGTGAATCCCTTTGCTTCTCCATGTGAAATGGAATCACTCATCCGGAGGACAAAAGTAATGCTGCTGCTCTGGGAAGAGAGATTTAGACATAGGCTAAGTGCACTAAATGAAGGGATAAATGTGACAAGGCTTGCAATACTGCCAGCCAAAATCATTATATCACCAAATTCTTACCACCAAAGTTGTTTTAAACTATCAGCATCTGGTCAGTAAATAATGGCATGTGAAGGTCTTATTAAAATAAAAGTTTGTGTTTGTGTGGTTATGGAGAAAATCTTAAAGGCAGAAGCTTAAAGGCCAAGATTCAAAAAGTATCAAGTGCCCAAATACATTTTTAAACTCTCTCTTGAAGTTTAATCCTTGGGAAATGAAAGTTTTCCTAAGAGCTTGAACAATGCATATTCAAGTACAAGAGGTCCAACTGAGCAGAATAAAAGCCACAAGGTCTCCCTTGGTTTTAGCATCACAGGTCCATTCGTTATCCTGCTCTCATTGTATAGCTTCAACAGAAAGCTCAAATACTTGAATCCAGCCACTCTCCTTGTCATCACTGAGCTGTAACTGTAAATGCTGACCTTGTATAAGACATTCCCTTTCTTAGAAAGCTGATCAGCCCCACTCTGTGAGCATGCTAAGGAGTGGTCCTGATAAAGAAAAGTTCACAAATTTAACTCAGTGTTTTCCTTGTGCTTTTGTGTTTTAACAAACATTTGAATTTCTGATGCTCCTCCCCCTCCCACGCCCCCCTCTCTTTTGAATGTAAGACTGCCTGTTTGAAACACAACAGAGGGTTTCTAAAGATAGAGAAAAGGGAGCAGTAGTAGAGAAGGATCTCAGGAAACCTCAGAAACAATGCGAAATCTTACCGGGGTTGTCAAGAGAATGAATGGGAATCAAGACAGTACCTTAAACAGTCTCACATCTCCAATCTAACAAGTGAATTATAAACTAATTTCTTCTCCCAAGAATTAGCTGCAAAGACACCTACAAATGAGCAATGCCTGTTGAGAAGAAAAGAAAATTAAGATTGCAGCATAATGTATGCAGTTCCGGTTTAGCTGGAGGATGGGCCCTTTTGGGATGATTGCTGAGAGATCACAGCTTCTGCAGAAACATGCTTTCTCTTTGAGTCAGACAGCAAATGGCTTCCCAAAGCAAGATAGATGGTGTTGGAGGAACATATATCATGCCGAATCCAATAGAGCACAAAGTTCTGCCATAGGATGTGAAACAATGACTCTGAATATAAGCATGCAAATTCTGAGAGCAGCGAGCGTGATGCCCTGATAACCAAAATCAGACATCAACCCTACTGTACCTACTTTTTATGTAGGTGCCACAGATGTCTACAGCTCCTTTCATTTCCCTAGAAAAAGCCTCTAAAAATGTAAAATACCTCCCGCATTTACAAATTTGTCTATGGTTCTGAACCTCTGGAAGGAAGAAGTTTCACATCAATGGAAATCATTGTCTCAGTGCTGTCTTTGCTACTTACAAATTGCATCTTGCCTCGGATGTTGCTGGTAGCAAAATATCTCTTTTGCAACAGTTATTCAATGTTGATCTTCTTTATGTCAATTTTCAGTTCATCTTGCCTATTACCATCCGTTGTCTGCCTCCACCCACTGTCAAGGCTTCTGGTTGTCTTCCGGCTAGTCAAATTGTCTGCCCAAATCTCTGTGCAAAACTAAGCCCCAGGGAGGAAAAACACCACTAGGAACTCCCTGGATTCTTGAAAGGCTGTTAGTAGAAATCAAACATTCCTCCTATGAGTAAATGAATAAAAATGCTCTTTTTGACGCTGTTTAACAACCCTGATGGATTTGGTATGAGCCACTTGCCAAAATCTACAGGACAGAGCGAAGGAAAACTTTATTCCCCTCTCCTCCCTCCTACGTTCCTGGCTACTGCTTTGAAAACTGCAGTGACATTGTCTGTACACATGAAAAAAGAGACGTTTTCCATAGAAACTTTCACGAGATCATCTCAAAAGTGTCTTCACGAAGAGAAGCACAGTGCGTCCTTCCCCACAGAAGATGAGTGTCTCTGATTCTGAGTCTTCAGGAGTCAGAGCTTTGGTCCTGGCCTGTTTTACTGCCTTGCACATTTATGTGCCAAAGCTCTGCCATAACCCTGAGGAATGTGGGATTAAATGTTTATAGTTCCCAGGGTGACTTCTCAGAGATGGCTTCACTGCAAGTCTGGTCTCGCTTCTGCTCCTTAAAAAACTGCAGCTGGAAATCCTGGAAGTATTTCTCTATACATCAAGTGAGAGACCCCCCTGGAGCCTGCACGCAGCCAGCAGCTCTGTGAAAAGCAGTAGAACCCTTGCTCCTTCCTGTGCCTTAAATCCCACTGGAAACTCAGAGAAAGAACCTCTTTCTGTTATCTTTCAGATGTTACCAATGGAGAAGTAAATTGGCCACATTTGTCTATTACCCACTTACCGCTGCTGAGAAATAGGTGTTTGAACAGCTGTTAAGGCTAAAGCTCAGCTGCGTGGATCATTAAAACCACTTCTCAGCTCGCCACAGTAGGTTTGAAGGTAATAGCTAAAAAAAATATATGTTCATGAGGGCTCCCATTAGCTCTCCTCAAGCTCGTGGCTACTTAGCCAGCTTAACACAAGATTGATCTTGTTGCTTGGCAGCTCAGTGCAAGGCATGGGCAGAAGCTCTCTTTTCCCTCTGGCTACAGAGAGATTCAGACACGGGCAGAAGCTCTCTTTTCCCTCTGGCTACAGAGAGATTCAGACACCACAGCCAAGCTGCATGCTCTGAATTCAATGAAGGATATAGTTGATAATTAGTGGCCTGGAGAGGGGATTATAGATCAGGATTTACCTCTGAGTCACGCTTTTACATATTTGCACACATACATAACTGTACCTGTGCACATACAGTCACTGCAGGAATGAGAAGAGGAATGAGACAGCCCTTCATAGAACATGCTCTGCAGCTCTCTGCTATCACTGGGCCTTACCTTTATTTATTTAACCCTAATCTTCATGGTGTTTAAAAATACGATTTTTCCCTCCAGCAGCTGTTTTTCACTCATGGAGAGGAACAACAGTAGTTTCATGGTCTGCCTTTGACTAAATTGTCTGCTCATTCTGAAAAAGCAAAATTCTGCCTGCTTTTTTAAGTAAATCTGCTCAATTTTATTGAACAGATAGAAGTGTAAAAATTGACATGTATCACCATTTTTTAAAAAGATGTTCCTTGTTCCAGTTTGCAGGAGTTAAGCAGTGGTAGTTGATAGGCAGTTCATGTACGACTGCACAAAGATTTTTATGATATTAGTTTGTTGTCTGTATTTCCACTGTATCTATAATGTAATCCCAGACAAATGTCCAGTTTTGCTTAAAAATTACCCTCAGTTTCTGTTACAAAATCCTATTTTCTGTATGCTTTAAAGATTACTTTGGTGTTACTCTGGGCTCAGCTTTCTCCCCTTTTTTGGATGCAATCAATTTTACTGGCATTTTTACACTTCTAAGCTCAAGGATTAATATATTTCATTAAAAAATGTAATTTGGCAAAGGGATTAATCCATAATGCTCAGAATTCTACAAAACACCACAGCTGGAGTAGTAATTATGCCTTTAAGAAGTTACATAAGCCTTTTATTGCATGTTTTTAATGGGTTTACATGGTACAGTACAAATACTAAAGTTTTTATACAGGGGACAGCAGTGGCACTGGAGCAATCAAGCACATGTCACAATTTGATCACTGAGAGAGACTTTCATCTGCTTGGGGAAAAGGTCTCTCCAAGGGGAGAAGAGGTACAAGCCAAAGCACTGGGGCTGCTGGGGAGAACATGTTCCAGGTAGCAGTTTCACAGACAAATCAAGACCTGTAATTAATGCACTGTGGACTTTTTCCACAGTCTGTCTTGTTTGATATACTGCAGTGTGTCTGTACAGTTTATGCCTCATTAAAGGCAATAGGATAAAAGTTGAGAGTGGCTGGCAGCGTCCTTGGTGAACCTGATGGGTTCACAGGACAGCAGACATGCAAAAATGGCCTGGACCAGTGTGCAGCCCAATTAAATGGCATGCATCCACCTTTAAAAAAGGTCTTACCCATGTGTCTGAAGAGTGCCCCATTTTTGCAGGACACTAAACTCAGTATCACTGTCTTTACCTGTAACAAAAAGGTTGTTTTTCTGAAGTATTACCATGTGGTCAGGCAATCCTTTCCTTCAGCTGGTTGCATTGTAAATGTCTTAGACAGAATCCTAACAAGGAGAAGAGAAATGGCCTTGCCTTCAGCAAAAAAGATGCTGCAGCTCCCCTGCAGCTGAGCAGCCTGGCCAGGACCAGACGGTGAGGGTAAAACTCAGTGCTCTTCCCATAGGCTCCTTTCAAGTCACTCTGTCCTCAATGGAATGTAGAGCAGCATCAGTGATGCAGAGATACTGGTATTGATTCAAAATGGAATGACCTCCTTAGCTGGGAGTTTGTATATAGGTTAGGTGTTACCACAGGGGTCATCCTTCTGGCACGTGTCTTTCCACAGCGTTGTCTGCCTCCATCCTCAGCCATAGATGTGCAAAGCAGAGGCCAGACACACGCTTTGAAGATGTGAAGGTGGTTTGTGAAGATGCAGGCATTGCTACAAGCAGTGAACATTCAACCAGGCTAATGCTTGTGGTTGCATCCCAACTCCTGTCTCGCTTGCAGACTCCTTGTTAGGAGATCCGTTTGCCAGAATGCACTGAATTTCTTCAGGAGCAAGGTCATTCCTCTTTATTCTGTCACAAGGTAAAGTATATGCACGTGAAAGCATAAAGGCTCTTTGCAGAGCTTGTGTGGTTCCTGCTACAGTCCTAGTAGCAAGGCTGGAGGCAAAGCCAGTGGCTACAGAGGACAGCCTGCCCTGCCACCTCTCTGCACTTGGGTCAGCATAGCAGAGGTGGCATAGAGTGGGGAGGACTTTCTCAGAGCACACTTAACTTCCCACACAAGGCAGAGGAGAAGCAACTACTCTGAGCAGCAGCTGGGTCAATGCCTGAAGCCAGGCAAACACAGGAACCTCCTGGCTGGAGCCCAGGGCACTGCAGAAGGCAGGGAGAGACCCCAGAGCTGCTGCAAAGCAGTAGCTGGAAGAGGTAAATCTTCCCCCCAAATTCTCCCTCCTCCCCCAGGCTTAACACAAGGGAAAGATGATCACTGATGTACAAGTGACGGGAGCCTTTAGGCATCAAGACTTTTTGCTCAGTCTTCCACTGCAAAGACAAACAGCAGCAAGATAGCTCTCAGCAACCCAGA